GAGAGAGACAGAGACAGAGAGACAGAGAGAGAAGAGAGAGACAGAGACAGAGAGACAGAGACAGAGACACACACAGAGACACACACAGAGGAGAGAGACAGAGACAGAGACACACACACAGAGAGAGCATGCCTGTGCACATTCATGTGTATAAATGTGACTTGTGCATACAGAGTTAATCTCAAGTGTTTGCCTTGGCCTTGAGTCTTTTGTGGCTTTCTTATGTTTCTCATGAGCTAGCTGACCCTGAAGCATCTGGGGATTCCCTTGTTTCTGTCTACCATCTCCCCATAGCAGCTCTGGAATTACAGACACTCTTGCTAGCACACCTGGCTTTGCTGGATTCTGGGGATTTGAACTTAGGTACTCACACTTGCATTGCAAACCCTTTTGCCCACAGATCCACCTCCCCAAAGCCCAGCCTCTGTTAATTTAACCATTACTAAGGTGATTTTGCAGTAGCTGCCTAGAATCATGGGAACAAGATCCATCTTTTATGCCCGAAGAGCTCAGAGCAGGGTGTGTCTAGAATTTTCTGGAGAAGGCAGGGGGATGCAAGAGGACCCAAGACCCAATATATTGAATGTCCCTGGTTTCCTCACTTGAAAAGCAGAATTCGCAGTATTATTTGCCTCACAGTGACAAGGTGAAATTGAAGTGTATTCATCTCCCAGGAATGGCACAATAATGTCATCCACTCAGGTTAGCATCCATCCTATTTCTAAACATGACCCCAGCGGACAGGAAGGACAAAATGAAGTTGACTGTCTAACATTAGTCTAAAACAAGTTCTCTTTTGGGCCCTAGGGTGGGTGGGATGTTAAATGGCCAGCTCCTACCGGCCATGCATCTCTATAGGATTAGTGACTGCATGTTAGTGAGAGAAGAGGAAGAATTCTGTGCCAGGGCTTGCAGATGTGACTGGGGAACTCCAGTCCAGGAGATGAAGACATACAGTAGTGAAAGTCCCAGGAGGATGAGAAGGATGCAGGACAGACACCTGAGACCCCCGGGCCTGAGCATCCCTTGACCTCTCTGTGTTTTGAAATGTATTTTAAGAGGGATGACAGTTTCCTCCTCTCCACCCTCCCTCACCACCCACACACATGCTGCAATGATGGGAGGTCACAAGATCAATACAGTTCTCTTTGCTGGAACTCACTGTGGTGTGAGTTTGCCAGGAAGTGACTCCATGAAGAGCCAGCGCCATTCCTTTGACAGGCAAGCACAGTGTATTCTAGAGGCTCCGGTGGGGAGGAGATCTGAATGTCAGGGGCATTCTGGGCTCCAACAGACCCTCAGAGATGGGAACGTTCTATTTCTGTCCTGTTCAATCTGATGCCACCAGCTCTGTGTGGCAAGTGCTGGAAATGGCTTGTCTGAATGAATGAGGGAAGCACTGTGCTCTTTAATTTACATCAGAACAGCCATGTGTGACCAGTGGCAGCCACATGGATGACACAGATTGGCATGGGGGAGGGAGTGGGGGATGTTATGATCACTTGTGGTCTCTTAAGACTAGCTGGTAGTTATGGCATCTTCACCAAACTGGCCTGAGCATCTTCTCTATTATCCAGACCTCAGGCAAGGTATCCAAGCTCAGGCTACTTCTACATCTTCCTTCTTCCTTCTAGACATCCCCAAATGTCTATCCAGAGGTTAGAAAGTAGTATTGGCTCCCTAATCTCCCCAAAGAACCAATCTATTCTCTATGCTTTGGAAAGTCTGTGTGTGTGTGTGTGTGTGTGTGTGTGTGTGTGTGTGTGTGTGGGTTTTTGTTGGTGTGTGTTTCTGCTGCTGCTGGGGATTGAACCCAGAGCCTTGCATATGCTAGGCAAGTGCTCTACCACTGAGAGCACTCAAACTTCTATGCCTTGGGAAAACTCTGATGATCTACTGCACAGATGCCTTTCTAGAGCAGAGCAGAGCTGCAAGACTTAACACATGCATTGGGCTGTTTTGTGCCCGTTGGGCTGGGTAAGCGGGGCAGTGGTCGCTCATCACAATGCCTCTACTTTTCCCTTCGGAAGGAATTGGAGGCCTGGGCCTGGTTGGGCCTGGCTGAACCTGGCTGGGCCTGTGGAATCTATTCATCGCTTTCTAAGCCAGGCTCTGTAAACTCATTCAGGAGATGGGGGAGGCAGGAGGAGGGAAGTAACAGGGCCTGGGAACAAAAGGCGCTGGGCAGTTTGCTGTTTGTGGCCAGGCTTCTGGAGCGGAGGCAAGATGGAGGCAGGCTAAGAGGGCTGGTCTGGTGGTGGGGATGTTCAATGGAGAAGGAAGATAGGACTTTCCTTGCTGCCTCCCCCCTGCGTCCTGGAAGCCCTGCCCAGCCCCAGGTCTGGGAGCCTCCATCTGGGTAGGTCAGTTCTTATCTCTCTCTCTTCAGTGGCCCTGTGGGAAAAGAGGGAGGCCAGAACAGCAGGAGTCAAAGAGGAAAGAAAAACCTGGCAGCACAGAACCTCTTTCCTGGAATTTCTTTCTGCCCCAGCCTCCATCCTCCACATCACAGGCAGAGCATGTGGGCTCCTCTGGTCCCCAGGAGAGCAACCAGACAGCAGAGCCACCACCCTGTCCAGCTCCAGAATTAAAAGGGCCCTAGCATTTGGCTCCAGCGGGCAATTTGCATGTAATTTGCATATATCTGCATACCCACTCTAAAGGCCTCAGTCAAAGAATGTGAAATGAAATAAAATAAATTAGTACAGCCTAACATAGCCCCACACAGAGGGCCTGACACCCATGAGAGACATAACAGTTCTCTAAGCTGTCAGTGTAGGGGGCAGATTGGGCCAGGCAGAAGGAAGGTGGAAGCCTCCTTCCAGTCTGGACACTCATGATGAACTGTGCTTCCAGTTTGGGGAGTCACAGGGACACTTCCATACACGAGCTTAGCCTGGCCTGGTGTTGTCCCCCCTCTAGAAGCTCCTCCTCTAGAAGGAGCTTCTAGATGACAGTCCTCCTCTTCAGGAGGACTGTCATCTCCTCTGGCATGTTGACTATTGGGGGCTGGGGATGTGGAAGGCTATGGGGCCCCTGGACTCTTCCCAGCTCCAACTCTACCCCCTCTTCCATCCCAGGAATCGTTCCTATTAGTCGGTAACACCTTTCTCTCTCCTCCCTCCGATTCCACTCCAGGATGAGGGAGGGTGAGATGTGACCCCAGTGTCACCCAGCAGCTGGGGTTAATCTCTCTTGGTTCCTTGATGGTTGTTTACAGCCTGTGACAGCCAAGCAGCCCCCAAAGCCTGTGACACCACAGGTGGTAGCTAGGCTCTTGCTGGCCTTGACTTTGTCTGGGCCGGTCGGTCTCCCTCTCCTAGGACTGGGGACCATGGATCCAAGTATGCTGCTCACACTTGTAGGAGGTGGGTGGAAGGCACCGGAGCTGGTTCCAAGCAGACGGTGCTATGATGCTGAGGTGGAAGACAGCTTGGGGTCAAAGGGGTATGGGCAGAGTCAACAACTCTCATCAGCAAATGCAAACAGAAGACGAGAAATTCAAGATGGATGGCAAGGAAGGCACCGAGAAAGACACATGAGTGATGGAAGGATGTGGTGGAGAGCAGCCTGGGTGGAGCATTGAGGTACCCAGGACTTCTTCCTCTCACTCCTCACCCCAAATTTCCAGGTTCTGTGAATGCATGCCAGGCAGGGTAGCCAAGGATGCCTCTGAACTTCTGGTCCTCCTGCCTCCATCTCACAGTGCTGGGATGACAGGTGTGCCCTGCACTAGGTTTTATGCAGCACTGGGGCTCAAAACCAGGGCTCCATATGTGCCAGGCAGGCACTCTGCGCACTGAGCCACACCCCCACCCCCACAGAATGGTTTCCTTCAAGTATCTTTAACTGTGAGGCAGGAGTCCATTCCTCATGCCTTCTATTTCCACAAGGCCCCTGAGCAAAGCACAGTTTTTTTCATAACTGTTAGAAAAAAAGGGGAAGAAGATTTTTGTGACACAGGGAAATGATACAAAGTTCAGCTTGCTGGTTTCCATGCACAGCAGCAGGTTTGGGGATGTGGTGTGCCCTCTCATTCACACATTGTCCCCAAACAGTGTGGAGGAGCTGTGACTCACACTCTACCGTTGGCAGAAAGGAACACATTTACAGTCTTGGCCTTTACCAGGAAATGATGCCTGCCCCTGGCTTAGATCCCAGGAGAGGAATCGTCTGGGGCATCCTTGGGCACGTTCTCACAGACCGGCCTCCAAGACCGCTGACCCTTCCTGGGAGCCCAGCCCCTGCTCCTTTAGGGGGTACCAGTCTGGGGTACCCGATTCAGACCCATACAGATTCATTGCATTCGTGGCTGGAATGACCTTTTGTGCCCAAGACCCAAAGATGTTCTTCCCACTGTCATCATTGGCACCTGGGCATCTGGGTGACACGTTTGCATCTTGAACCACTTCCCTCCTCGGCCTGGATAGCTGGTGCGAGGCGCCAGGCTGGGTCTCACGCAGAAAGCTGAAGTGGTGCAAAATCCCTGAAATGCATTGAGCTTTTTTGTTGTTTAAGAGAGATTCTCACTACATAGCTCAGGCTTGCCCTAAAATCAGCAAACCTCCTGTTTCAGCCTCCGGACTGCTGAGCTATACATCACCGCATTCGGCTGAAAGGCAGTTCTAAAGACAAGAAGCCTTCCTGTCGTCTCTCCCATGCCAAAACCACGGCCAAAGCATCCTGCTTAGGACCACACCAGTATTGTTCCCAGATGCACACTGTCCCCAGGGCCTGTGAACTTCTCAGCAATCTCTACTGGGGTACTGGTGAATTCCTGGGGTTATCAGAAGCACAGGGGAGACCAAAGAAAGAAAGAGCAGAGGGTAGCTTGGGGATGGCCAGAACTGAGGCTGCAACCTTGCCTGTGGACTCTGTCACGGCCCTAGGACACAGAGGCAACCATGTGGAGCCGCCACTTACCCGGTACCACACGATCTCGCGCATGCGGCCGTCTGTCTTGAAGTTACACTTCAGGGTCACTGCGTCCCCAGCCACCACAGGAGGAAGGGGCTCAATGCTGACTGTCAGATAGCCTGTGGAGGGAAGGGGAGAGGGGATGAGACACGCAAGCATAATGGGTGGCTTCGAAACCCAGGACCCCCACCTACACTGAGCTACACCACCGAGCTCCAAATGGTGCAGTAAGCAGACCACACTCTCCCGGCAACCCTTAGCAACTCCCTTTTGGTGACCAAACGCATCCAGCCTATCCAGCCTGAACTGGTTGTAGATGCTTGTGGTAAAGGCAACCTATGGGTAGGGTGAACTGTGAGGAAAATGCCCTATGTGTCATCTTATGCCTGTGCAGGATTGGCCATGCTTCTGATTAAAATCATATGCATTCTAGGAAAGGGTATTCATGTGAACGAAGGCTTCTGTAGCCTAAGACTGTAAATCAAAACAGAGACTACCCTCCCCCTCCCCCAACACTCAGCGCCCGCCTTTTCCCGAACCCTCAGAAAGAGAAGGGGTAGGCGTTCTTCCTCTAGAATGACCCCCTCAGAGCCCTGCTCTCTTGGCCTGCACTTTCACGGTACTTCTGAACAAAAGCTCTTCCTGTTTTGCTATTTATATGCAATTCTTCATTTCTTTGAGTAAGACACCAAGAATCTAACAATACCCAGTTGGGACAGTGATCACTATCCAAATCAGGAAGGTGAGGGCAGATGGTGACTGGAGGGCTGGACCTCCTGTGTGGTCTCCACTCGCTCTTTAGCTACAGGAAGGGTGACAGAGTTGATCTTATGCTCTCTCCCTCTGATTGGCATGTCCTTTGTGTCACCTCTTTGGCTCCCATAGATCCCCCTTACTGAAGAATTTACCCACGGATAGGCCTTCTATATACAAGACCCAGAGGGCCAGCGAGATGGTTCAGTGGGTAAAAGTGCTCATTGTGCAAGCTTGACAGCCCGAGTTCAATCCCCAGAATCCACAATTGAAAGAAAGAACAGACTCCTGAAAGCTGTTCTCTGACCTCCACACACACCATAGGATGTGTCTGTGTACACACATATGCGACTGCACACACACACACACACACACACACACACACACACAGGTCGAAAATCTCAACTCTCATTTTAAACGGGATGAGACAATTTATTTGAGGCCAAATTTGGGTGACCACGGCCTGTGAACACAGATTTAGGTTACCCTAAATTCCATGTTCCAACACAGAAGCAGATTCATGAAGTTTTTATAGTAACAAGATAAAGAAGAGTCACGGATCAAGGCACTTTTCAAATACGTTGGTGGAGACATCAGAGGGGCTCACAGCAAAGGGGGAAGCTCTGCCAGGGGCAGAGGCCCTCTGGCAGTCATCTTAGCTCTTTGGTTGGGGGAAGCTGGGGTCCACTTAGTTAATGCATTCCCAGAAGTTTTCACACGATGTTAGGTCAGACAGAGGTGGGAAGGGAAAGAGAATAAGTGGGGGCCAGACACCCCCAGGGAAATTGCAACCAGGCTTTGGACCCACAGCGTCCCAACCTCTCCACCTTGTGGAGGGTTTTATTTCTCTCTGAATCCTTTGTTTAGACAAATAAAGAACATTTAAGACCTTCTAAGACCAAAGGAAAAAGCTAAGATCCAACACTGGGATTGGAGTTGTGACATGTCTGGTTGATGACTGACTGTGGCTCTAGTCATTGTAACGAAACACCCTGCAGAAGCAACACAGGGGAAGAAGGGTTCATTTTGGTTCCAGGACGGAGACATTAAGGGAGCAGAGGGCTCCAGCTGGAAGTGAGATGGTGGTGTAACCTTGAAGAGTTCCCCTTCCAGCCACCCACTGCATCCAGTCAGGCTCTATCTCCCAAAGATTCCACAAACACCCCAAAACAACAGCACCCACTGGGGACCAGTGTCAAACATGAGCTGTATGAGACAATACAGCAATTGGCTTCTAGGGCCTGAAGAAGAGGAAATATACTTACCCCAGTGTCTCCAAACCACTCTGCCTGGGAGGCCCCTTCTCTGACCCCACACAGGGTCCCTGAGGCACACTGGGATCCGATCCACCCAACCCTCATTCCAGCTTCAGATCCACTTACTCCCACGAAAAGATCCTGAGATGCCACCATTGGCTTCTTTAACACCCAGCAGTTGCACCCCACATGATGCTTGGGCATGGGGGAGCCCACTACAAGCTGATCAATTGGGGAGGAGTTTTAGATATCCACAAGTGCTTCAGTAGCCGTGCCTTGGGGATGCTGCTGCCGCCACGTCACCAGGCAGTCCTCCATGAGACCTCCGGCCCATTCCTCTGCCTCTCCACCTCCACCTCAGAGGGCCATGTGCCCACTCCAGCTTGGTGGGGACTTCATTCTGGGGCTGACCACTCAGGCTCATTTGATGGGTCTCCCACTGCTGATGTCTGCCTATTGATTGACTAGATCAATCTAGTCCAATTGCCTTAATGAGAAAAGCAGCCAGGATGGGCTGGGATTTCAATTGTGCAGGCAACCTGAGCGGATGGAGCCCCAGGGGTCTGACCCCTGCATGTAGCTTAATGGGTCCAACACTCTGAGAGGCAAAAACAAGAGCGGACCTCAGAGATCAATGTGAAAGCAGGAATCAAATTGAACCTGCATGGCTACTGCTCCAGAGCAGGGGTTGAAGGCAGGGGCTCACTCTGGGACCCTCTCTAATGTAAGCTGAAGTCAGGTTCATGGAGAGCCCCCGAGGCCATGGGATCTAAGAAAGTAGCCTTCATACCGCTGCAAGACCAATCTTCGGGTTGCTTACAACACAGTGGTTTCAATGTGCCAGAATCTGAGAAACAGGGTGGCACAGAGTGGCCAGTGTCTTCTGAAATATACAGAGGAGGAAAAGAGACATCTAAGGATCATATAGAGATGGGGAGGGGAGGGGCTATGAGAGGGGACAGGGAAGCTGGGTTCATCTTACATAATCCAGATCCCAAATCTCGGCCAACAAGGAGAAAGAACTTCGAGGATCTGGAATGCTCCCAGGCAAGCCAAACCTGTATAACATGGTAAATATGGTGTGTACCAGGCACTAGTTTAATGTTTTCCCACACACCCAGCATGGCAAGTCTCAAGAAGAGCTAGCTCCTCCAACACCTTATAGGAGAACAGAGAGGGTTTATTATCCATGCAGGCATGGGCTGAACCACGCAATCAGTACAGAACACACCCAGACACCAAGTTTTCAGCACATAGGAGATTTATTACCCAGGAGGGCCAAGCAAGGGGATGGGCTGCCAATGAAAAGGACAAAGGCAGGTGACAGGTGGTTTTGCAGCATTGAGTTTTTAAGGAGTAAAGAGGGAAGGCTGTGTTGGAATGAGTTGGTAAGTCCTGATTGGACAGGCTAGCCAGTGTAGCCAAGTAATTAATTCTGGTTGCCGGACCTTAGTGTTTTGGTAGTTGGTCCCTGGTAATAAGTCTCAGAAATGAGTCAGTGGCCAAATAAGGGAATAGACTTCAAGGGCTAGCTTCAGGAATGTAATAGAACAGTTTAGCAGAGGAGAGCAAAGGGGAAATTTGGGGCAAAACTAGTAGGCACCGTATTTGCCATGCTCAGGCCTGTTAGAGAGCCCTTCAGTCCTAGTTAGGCTTTCTATTGCTGTGATGGAACACCATGACCAAAAGCAAGTTGGGGAGGAAAGGCTTTATTTTGCTTTTACTTCCACACCCACAGTCTGTCATAGAAGGAAGTCAGGGCAGGAACTCAAGCAGGGCAGGAACCTGGGGGCAGGAGCTGATGTAGGGGCCATGCAGGGGTGCTGCCCATTGGTTTGCTCACATGGCTTGCTCAGCCTGCTTTCTTATAGAACCCAGGACCACCAGCCCAGGAATGGCCTCACCCACAGTGGGCGTGGCCCTCCCCCATCAGTCATTAATTAAGAAAATGCTTTACAGCTAGATCTTATGGAGGCGTTTCCTCAGGCAAGCTTCCCTTCTTTCAGATGACTCTAGCTTGTGTTGACATAAACTAGTCAGCACATACATTAACTGTCAGGCTCACACAGTACAGTTGAGACTCACATTCAGTTCCTGTCCTCGCATGGCATGTCCTACCCTATTGTGTCACAGCCTCTCCAGGGACAGCAGAGGTGAAAGAAGATGAGGCAAACTCACGGGGCCCTGTAATCTGTATTCTTTTGTCTGAAACTCCAGGGACTGGGGGCACAATTGAGGGAATCACACAGTAGTCCAGCTCCAATCCCACCAGACATGGCTTGATCACCCAGCCCTTTCCTAGGTTTTCCTACTTTTGAAGGGTTGACAGGAAATGAGCACCAGGCCAGGTAGATGGTGGGCTCATAACCAGATGGGAGAAGGAAAGGGCAGTGTTCTTGCATGAGTGAGGTGACGGACAGGGGTAGTTAGTTGGTCAGGGTGACGAAGGACCACTGTTTGCTGCTGAGACAGGAAACAGTGCTGCTGATGGGACGGTCATGGGGTTTGTGACAGCTGGAAGTGATTGTTAACTTGACAGAATCTTGAGGCTCCAGGGAGATGGGCCTCTGGCTGTGTCTGTGGGGATTTATCTTAATTATATTAATTGAGATGGGTAGACCCATCCACTGTGGGTGGCACTATTCCCTAGGCAGGGCATGCTGGGCTTTAGAAGAGTAATAGAACAATCTAGCTGAGTGCTACACATGTATGCAGTCGTTGCTTTCTTGTAACTGGGGGTCAATGTGACCAGATGCTACAAGTTCCTGCTGCCTCGGCTTCCCCACCCTGATGGACTGTGCCTTGAACAGGGAGCTGAAATAAGTAAGGCCCTTTCCCCTTAAGCTCTTTTGGTGGCATGATTTACGTTTGGTTACACACAGCAGCAGGACAAGACAGGCCATCCCCGTGACAGCCGCATCTCACCCCACCATGGAGCTGATGTTCTAGCAGACAAAGCCATCATTGATTATCAATGGAAATACATCAGAAGGTGATATGTGTGAGGAGGAATGATCTATCAGGGAAATGCCACGGAGAGGAATAGGGGAGAGGCCTTCAGAACAGGACTTCCCAGCAAGCTTCTCTTGAGAAGGCTGAAATAATGGAATATAGGAGCCAAGCAGGGATCTAAGAGAGAGCATGCCAGACAGGACGCAAGTGCAGCTGAGGTCTTCTGAGGGTATGCGGTGGACTCCAGGCTTGGGCCTGGGCAGGAAATCCCACCAAACATCTTACATACTGGAGCAAGTCTCTGTCAGAGCTTCATGAGGGACTAGAGTAGAGCAGAGTAGGCTGTGGCAAGTGAGAGGCAGAAGGTAAGGTTCG